TATATATTTGTAGCCCAAAAATAGCGGGTAACCCAAATTTGATTTTTTGTAGCGGGAACTTTTAAAAGTAGCCCAATCCGATCCTGACAACAACGCTGCTACTGTGGGTTTACGATTGTTAAAATCATCAAATCACTAGTCACAGAAATGCAACGTTTCAACAAGCTAATAAAGATCGAGATACAGAAACTACGTCACTCGCAGGCATCCAATAACAACCATCCCAAGTTCCCATTTTAGAATATATTCTGTATATGTATAACAATGTGTTTTTTTTTATGATTAGATGCATAAAATGGAAAATGTTAATTGTTTAGGTGGATAAAAGAACATGTGAGAAAAGCAGATGTTAACGGCAATGGCAGCTTAACATTCGAGGAGTGTCTGACTTTACTTCAGCAACTGAACATCTCTATGAGGAGACGAGAAGTACGAGAATTATTCAACGTGAGTCTCTGCTGTATTCAATTCATTTAATAAGCGTTAATATACTTGTAATAATGTGAATATAATAACGTGAAACGCCTTCCGGCGAGGTGAAGCGGGTTCGAATCCCAGCATTGACTGGTCGATACGAATTCCGCATCAGGCTTGCACCGACCACAGTGCCGACGGGAAAAATCCACAGTGGTAGAAGGATTATGGGTAAGAGTTCCTTTGCCCTTAGGTTAACCGACTGTTAGATTAACTGGAATCGAATCCCAGTGATGGCTGGTCAATATGAATCCCGCACGCTTGCACCGACCACAGTACTGACGTAAAAATATCCCCAGTGGTAGACGAATCATGGATTAGAGTCCCCTTAACGTCAGGCTAACCGTGGGAGATTTTTGTGGTTTTCCTCTCCATGTAACGCAAATGCGGGTTAGTTCCATCAAAAAGCTCTCCCCGAAGGCAAAATTTCTTCCAATTCTTGATCCAGGAGTCCCCTTGTCTTCTGGATTGGGCTCAAAATTACAAGTCTACAGAGTTGAACATTAGTAGTCGTAAACCCAAAAAATTCGGTCTGCTGTTCAACGACGGTTATAAAATAAAATAAAATGACCTCTTAATGAACAATTAAGAGGTTCCTTCATTATTTGGGGGTACAGAATCCGAAGCGTCGTAAAAAAAAGGCATGCTTATTCAGAGAAAGGACGTTTTTGTGTGGGATTTCGTAATTTAAATTTTATTTTATTTTATAACAGTTGTTGAACAGTCGACTGAATTTTCAGTTTACGGCTACCAATGTTCGACTTCGAATCCTTGTAATTTTGAACCCAATCCGGAAGACAAGGAAACTCCTAGATCAAGTATTGGGAGAGTTTTGTCATCGTGGAGGGCTTATTGATGGAACTAACCCGCATTTGCGTTACATGGTGGGGAAGACCACGAGAACCTCAGACGGTTAGCCTCACGGCAAGGGGACTCAAATCCATGATCCGTCTACCACTGAAGATATNGATCGGTGCAAGCCGGATGCGAAATTCGTATCGACCAGCCATGGCTGGGATTCGAACCCGGTTCATTTCATTGGAAGGCGAACGCTCTATCTACTGAGCCATCGCGGCTCTCGTAATTTAAATTATAGTGTGCACTAATTAGTTTACATATATGAGTTCCTTGAACCATTAAGATTGGGTGGAAATCCGATCATTAGATTAAAAATGGCGTACTCTAGCGTAGTGACAATGTGCATCTAGTAGCAATGTATTATTATTTTTTCAGGCAGCTAATTTTAACAAAGTTAAAATAGACGGTGAAGATGCCCTCGAACCCGATGAGTTCGTTCATTTCTATCGAAGTCTCGTCCACAGACCAGAATTAGAAGAAATCATGAAAGAGTATGTTATTCATTATTATTTTTAATTATAAATAATAATCAGGGCCTATAAAGCATGATTTTACACTAACTTAGATACTAAATTAATGTTTTAGCATTTTTAAAGTTATTATAGTAGCAATGTTTATTTAAAATTAAGCTCTATACTTTCGTCTTCTTCATTTTTACTTTCTGGCTGGGGGTGAAATCGCATACTATCTAAAATCAATCGTATTTGGAAGCTATCATGCTTTTTTACTTTCCCCCCCACATTTTAGAATTATCGCAGGAATACTGCCTGCTTGGCAAAGTGGCAAGCAAGAAAAAAAATTATGGATCATAACAATCTTCATTAAGACATTTTTGAGAATTGGCAGAACTTCAAATCGCAGCCCGAAAACAGTGTGCTTGAGTTTTTTTCTAAGGGAAAATGGCACAAGTTTGTTCCTATGATACGCTACGTCCTATGGAAAAAAGGGAAAACTTAGTAATTACAATTGGTCCATTAAATCGGTCGAGGGAATAATATAGTTCTCACACTTATTAAAGGGAAAGACTTAAAATGTTAGTTCTTGCATTCCAAACATAGAATAAAAAGACAGGATGTGAATAATAAAGTGTGAGAAAGCGCTTAATTTTGAATAATAAATAAGGAAATATATAT